CCCCCCTCCCTGATAAGATTCTCCCAACGATGCTGTACTCTGATCAGTGAATTTTTCAGAACTTCGCGAAACATATGCTGAAATAGAACAATATCGCGGTGATGTCGTGAGCTTGATGATGGAAAATCACATTGATGCTCTTCTTTGTCCTCCTCAGGTTTTTCACTTTTATAATTGCAATGTTACTTCGTCTGCGAACTGCGCAAATTCGAACTATTGCATTTGTTTAAGGTCCTGATTACTCCGAAGCATCATATTCCTGCTAAACTCTTCTCGGCTGTTTGCTACACGGCTTTATTCAATCTGCTTGACTTCGGAGCCGGTGAGTGCACTCAAAACAGCGCACATCTCTTCATGAGGGTGCTCACACAAATCGTAATGTCCTTTTTCAAATGTGTCGCGCCCACAGCTGTGCTTGGAAACCGTAGTAATGCTGCTTTGTGTTTGGCGAAAATGAGACTTGCGAGATGCAGCTGATGAATATGTTAATCTTTTCTTGCAAAAACCCTTTCCCAAAAGTATCATTTCGTGACCGTTCAATCAATATGTTTCTCGACGTTTGTAGAAAATGCTGACGAGCACTTGAACCTGAAGGCGCATTCCGCGTTGATGGAGTAGAAGAGAGATGGGCGGAGACGACAACAATTATATCTTCTTGACTAATGGTTATCACAGAATGTGCCTCCAAGGGGTATGATGGTCGGCTAGAACAGGATTGATTCGGATTCTCACAGATAGGTCATGCTTGTGGTAGTGAAAACACATCACACTCCACCCTAATTCATTTTTGTGAGGAAAGACTAAGTGTTCTCCTCCAAGCGTCTCTTTATTAACCCATTCGTGACAATGTCCGCCACTGGTGGTGGACACCGAAATGTCCACTTCGGACCATGTCCACCATATGTGGCGGACGGGCTTTTGATGAAATTTTTAGAAACAGTTCGAGTTCTTCGAGGAACTTTTCCCAGTGGTACAAGTCTTCATACCTTTGTTAATTTATGCAAATAGTGGACCAACGAGATCTTCAGATATAAGGGTCCACCACATA